GTATGCAAATTTTTACACGTAACTTGGAAAAGCTAAGACACAACTGAAAACCAAGTAGGGGGAAACTGAATAACTGTTAATGCTAACATAATGTGGCTTAGTATCCATGACTTACAGGTTCAGTTCTGTGAGAGCCATGCCAACTTAGAGTAAAAGAGATTTCTAGAATCACTCAGCAATCCGTTTCAAACTTTTCTGATGTTACAGTACTATCATCTGGCTTTGCTATAAATAATATTCATAAATTTAATTATAGATTAGTATAATTATTAAGCAAGACAAACAGCACAAATAAACAGTATGTAGTGTCCTTTAATTTGAATAGCAAATCTGATGTAGTTCGTAACGTGCTTTCAACCGCCTTCTTCAAAATTTGTAGGCCTCTGCTCATCTGTGTGTCATTACTTCTGTGGGTTTCTTTCTTCCTTTCCTTGTTGCTTCTCTTCAGTCTCATTTCTCCCTCCATAAATAGTTGTTTATCACATATTTCTCCAATTCTCTCAAGTGTTCCCTTACCTTCAGAAGATGGTCAGAGGCCAATAATATGCATACGTAAAGCGGGGAGGAGATATGGCTGTCAGGTGTCAGTTTGTTATGCTCAGTTGGTGTTTATTCTGTTCAAATGCAAATGTCAAGTTCTTTAACAATGTTTAAAAGGTAACGCCTGGAATGGTAATAGTACTATATCTTTACTTCTCAGTGTGCATGTCATTCAGCAAACCTGAGACTTTGCTGGGAAACGTGCCAGAACACTTGATAGTGTTTTTTTAAGGAAAAAAAAGCCACAAAAAAACCGCTCCTAAAGCAAAAAACCAACACCCACCACAACCCATATGCAGAATGGCATAGTATTGCAGTACTGTAATTTATCTCAAACAATGGAATTTGTTGGTCTGTTAAATTCTGAAAAGGCTAGATGTTCTAATCATTTTGGTGTGTGAGGAATATGATGTTGGAGAAAGGAATGCATTGGCTAATTTCCATTGTAATATGTCAGAATCATTGTAAGTGTATGTAATACTACTAGTATCATTGGTGACAGCAGCTCTTGGAAATCACAGGTTGTCCATTGTGCTGTTTTTTAGGTGGAGGTAAAATCTGGAGAAGAAGATGAAGAAATTCTCTTCAAAGAGAGGGCAAAACTTTACAGATGGGACAGAGATGCTACGCAGTGGAAGGAGCGTGGTGTTGGAGAGATAAAGATCCTCTTCCATACACAGAAGAAATACTATAGGGTCCTCATGAGAAGGGATCAAGTTCTTAAAGTCTGTGCAAACCACGTCATCACCAAAGAAATGAACTTAGTGCCCTCTGGTACATCAAACAACGCTTTAATCTGGACAGCCACAGACTACGCTGGTAAGTTTCGGGGTTTTGGGGCGTTTTTCGTTTTTTCTGTGTGGTCTGTAGTTTCTGTGGCTTCGTTTTGCCATGGAGAGAATATAAGACAAAAGTTGTTTTGTTTCTGACTGTACTGGATGGAACTAAAGAAACCTGTTCTCGGATTTATTTGCAGATGGTGAAATGAAAGTAGAACAATTTGCAGTCAGATTTAAAACCCAAGAAATGGCTAATTCTTTCAAGAAGCGGTTTGAAGAATGCCAGCTAAGCTTGTCAGAACTACAGAAGGGACACTTATCTCTGGCAGCAGGACTGTCAAAGGACACCAACCCCGTTGTGTATTTTGAAGTTTCTGCTGACAATGAACCTTTAGGACACATAACCATGGAGTTGTTTTCCAATATTGTACCTCGAACTGCTGAAAATTTCAGGGCCCTGTGCACAGGAGAGAAAGGATTTGGATTCAAGAACTCCTGCTTTCACAGAATAGTGACCGACTTTGTGTGTCAGGTAAGCATAAATGGAAGACTCTTCATTGCGAGAATGAGATGCATCTGCCTTGTCCCTACAAGGAGATGAGAAATGGTGCGAACAGCACATGCTGCCCTAAGCCAACTGCTTCTCACCTGTGTCTGCCAGCTGCCTGATGGCTTTAGTGTTACCTACTGCTGCCGTGTTAGTGTGAAAGGAAAAACAGAGATGAACATCTCCTCTTACAACACACAAGGGCCTGTTCCTGATGAGGAAAGTAGGGGTTCCCAAAACCACCATTCATGAAGCCATCTCTCTCTACAGAGAGAAGTTTCCATGTGCTCACCTGCTAAGAACACTTACTTTCCAGGCTTCTCTTATATTTTAAATTATGCTTTTTATTTCAGATAACATGCACTTTAAAACTGATACTCCAAGTATTTTAGATGCTCAAGTTTCCATCTAAAAAAAGGTCTTCTGGATCTCATTATCATGCAGTGACCTGTTCCTTAAAATACTCAAATTATCCACCAAGAGTATCAGGCTGCAGTGCATCTGAGCCCCCGTGTAGACAGTGTTGTTTTAAACCTCTGTGTGCATTAGGTAGCACTAGCAAGTTCTCTGTAATTGCTGAAGGCTTGGAGGTTGATCATAGCTCAGACCTTTCTTTTCCTAAAATTCTCATCAATAATTCAATGAGCGTTAGTGACTTTGTAACACACAGAAAGAAGCAACTTCCTTACACACTACACTAACGTTCCTGTATGTCGTGACATCCCTGAAGAAGAGGCATGACACTTTACAAAATCAGAAGTAGAATTATATATGAATGGGTGATTTTTCATTCTGGTAATAAGTCAGTCTCTTGATTTAGGTATTGCCTATGTCTGAAGTATGCTCTTTATAGCTCTTTTGTTAAAACTTTGTGCCTTTTTGCGAAGGAAAGCAGTGTTGCTCATTTAGGGTATAAACTTGTTTCAGGGTATTCTGCATCCTATAAGGAGCTGACAAAAAGTGAGCTTTTATCACAGAAAATTGCTCTATTTTAAGCTCGCTCTGCTTTGCCTCTCCAGTAGAATGAGAAGCTTTTCAATGAGAATTAAGGCTTTCCTTCAAAGATACAAGAATGTATAGTGTTACCTTTATGCACATAGTCAAATAATTGGGAGGCAGAAGCTTGCTATCTTGCAGAAGGGCAGAAGATACTACTTGCTAACAGTAGCTGCTCTTTTAAACAAGCAGTAGAGTGGCAAAAACTACTGCCTGCACAGAAGCAAGAAAATTGCTGATCATTGGTACCTTAACCTTTTTTAGGGGATCAGGTCTATGCCTGCAGGGACTAAGCAAGGACAGGCCTTCCATGAGATAGTGCGGGTCTCAGCTGTGTCAGGGCCAAGTGATGCAGGAAGCTGGCAGGGAGAAAGACAGGCCCAGACCAGAGGGGTGATCACCATGTGGAGCAGGAAGATAAAATGCTGTGTTCAGAATAAACAAGAGATAAACTTTCCACTTCTGCTTCCGTTACCATGAACAAAGCTGCTGAAGCTGGGATGCCTTATATCTAATTAAATCCACTACTTGTGAAAACTGAGTTCTTTCAAAGCAGAGTCTTCACTGCTGAAAGGGATTATAATTGTGCTATTGGTTTATGTTTGGGGACTTGTAAATTAATCCTGTGGCTTTTTTTTTTTCAGGGAGGTGATATAACTAACCACGATGGAACAGGTGGACGGTCAATTTATGGAGCAGATTTTGAAGATGAGAATTTTGAAGTGAAACACACTGGTCCTGGATTGCTGTCAATGGCCAATAAGGGCAGGGATACAAATAATTCTCAGTTCTTCATAACACTTAAAAAAGCAGAACACTTGGACTTCAAGCATGTGGTATTTGGATTTGTGAAAGATGGAATGGATGTTGTGAAAAAGATTGAATCCTTTGGTTCTCCTAAAGGGCTAGTAAATGGAAAAATTGTCATTACAGACTGTGGGCAAATATAGAATTATTGCTTTGAGTATACAGATGTTCTAGCAGTATAAATCAGTATTTAGATGTCATTGATTAATTATTTTGACTTCTTAAAATGGACACTTCTGATGTATAAATGTAAAATTACAGCTTATAGTTGGATTTTTTATGTGTTCTAATTGATTTTTGCATGTTAAATAAAAAGTTCAGACACTGGCATATTTCAGGTGTATTTGTGTTATCCTGACATATTTGTATTAAATGTCAAATTTTAAAAATTAAATCTTAGTCTTGTTAAAATAAATGTCTTGTCTTCACTCTGGTTTGTTTAAAAAAAGAACAAACTTGCATAATTTGTCTTCCTGCTGTCATAAATCTCTATTTTGAATATGCAAATTGTAGGTGCCAATTGCTGGTCAGTAAACTGAAGGCTTTTCAAACTTATTATCTGGATGCGCATAAAGCGATCTGAGGCAGCTGCCATGTAGGTGCTGGTTTGGGCTGAGTGAAGTCTCCAAATTAGCAGTTCAGCATTTGAAACTAGAGTCCATTTCTTAAATGTTTAGATTTTTTTGCTAGAGAAATGTACCAGCTTTTTAGGGTTTTCTTTGTACATAGAATATTTCTAATGACTTAATTTAGTGAAAGCCATCTGCTTGACATTGGGATGTTTGCTGAAATGCTGTAGTTAACCCACTGCTAATGCTCTCTTCTCAGTATGTTTATGAGCTTCATTTCCTGTGGCACTTCTGCAACCTCACTGCAGCTTATGGAGGATGGTTATTTTATCTTTTGAAACTTTGTCTTTCAGTAGTGAATATGCATTAATAACCATGGGGTTGTTTTTTTAAACTCCTGCTCTACAGCGCAGAGCTGGCACTATAAAGGATCTTCTCAAGGTAACCAGTTTGACGTTATGATCTCTTAAGTTGGAGATATGTAACATACTCTGCTTTGAAATATGTTTGAATTTATTTTTTTAAGGGAAAATAGCACTGTGAGAAACATCGACTCGCATCTTAGAATTTAAAGAGGACAAAGTCACCAAAGCAAAGATTAAAAAAATTATAATTTATTAATATGAAACAGTGCTGAATCGGGTACACCAAAAATAGATGGACGATGATCTTTTAGCTTTCAGGAATTTTATACCTTTATCCCGGCTGCTTGAGTTTCTGTCTCCGCTCACATTCTTCCCGACCGCTTGACCTATTCTTTTTTTTTTTCAGGGAGGTGATATAACTAACCACGATGGAACAGGTGGACGGTCAATTTATGGAGCAGATTTTGAAGATGAGAATTTTGAAGTGAAACACACTGGTCCTGGATTGCTGTCAATGGCCAATAAGGGCAGGGATACAAATAATTCTCAGTTCTTCATAACACTTAAAAAAGCAGAACACTTGGACTTCAAGCATGTGGTATTTGGATTTGTGAAAGATGGAATGGATGTTGTGAAAAAGATTGAATCCTTTGGTTCTCCTAAAGGGCTAGTAAATGGAAAAATTGTCATTACAGACTGTGGGCAAATATAGAATTATTGCTTTGAGTATACAGATGTTCTAGCAGTATAAATCAGTATTTAGATGTCATTGATTAATTATTTTGACTTCTTAAAATGGACACTTCTGATGTATAAATGTAAAATTACAGCTTATAGTTGGATTTTTTATGTGTTCTAATTGATTTTTGCATGTTAAATAAAAAGTTCAGACACTGGCATATTTCAGGTGTATTTGTGTTATCCTGACATATTTGTATTAAATGTCAAATTTTAAAAATTAAATCTTAGTCTTGTTAAAATAAATGTCTTGTCTTCACTCTGGTTTGTTTAAAAAAAGAACAAACTTGCATAATTTGTCTTCCTGCTGTCATAAATCTCTATTTTGAATATGCAAATTGTAGGTGCCAATTGCTGGTCAGTAAACTGAAGGCTTTTCAAACTTATTATCTGGATGCGCATAAAGCGATCTGAGGCAGCTGCCATGTAGGTGCTGGTTTGGGCTGAGTGAAGTCTCCAAATTAGCAGTTCAGCATTTGAAACTAGAGTCCATTTCTTAAATGTTTAGATTTTTTTGCTAGAGAAATGTACCAGCTTTTTAGGGTTTTCTTTGTACATAGAATATTTCTAATGACTTAATTTAGTGAAAGCCATCTGCTTGACATTGGGATGTTTGCTGAAATGCTGTAGTTAACCCACTGCTAATGCTCTCTTCTCAGTATGTTTATGAGCTTCATTTCCTGTGGCACTTCTGCAACCTCACTGCAGCTTATGGAGGATGGTTATTTTATCTTTTGAAACTTTGTCTTTCAGTAGTGAATATGCATTAATAACCATGGGGTTGTTTTTTTAAACTCCTGCTCTACAGCGCAGAGCTGGCACTATAAAGGATCTTCTCAAGGTAACCAGTTTGACGTTATGATCTCTTAAGTTGGAGATATGTAACATACTCTGCTTTGAAATATGTTTGAATTTATTTTTTTAAGGGAAAATAGCACTGTGAGAAACATCGACTCGCATCTTAGAATTTAAAGAGGACAAAGTCACCAAAGCAAAGATTAAAAAAATTATAATTTATTAATATGAAACAGTGCTGAATCGGGTACACCAAAAATAGATGGACGATGATCTTTTAGCTTTCAGGAATTTTATACCTTTATCCCGGCTGCTTGAGTTTCTGTCTCCGCTCACATTCTTCCCGACCGCTTGACCTATTAGAGGTTTATTTTGCACTTTTTCCCATATAAGGCACATATACACCTATTCTAGGAAATCATTATCCTAAACACACCTTTGATTAGTTGATTATGCTACATGTTATTTCAGAGTCTTTGCTACCATCAACTTTGCAGATTTACCAGACTGGTTTCTTTGGCCTTATTGGTACTCCCCTACCCTCTGGGTTCCTGTGTCGAAGGCCACGTTCCAGTGTGTTTCTCTTCCCCTAGATAACGCTCTGCGAACAAGGATCCCTTGACAGACCAAGGGCATTTCTGGGGATTAATTGGATACAATTTATTAGACTCTACTCTTACTAAGGCTTCTTTGTTAGTACTATCACACTAACAATGATACATCAATTAGCTGAAGCAAAACTTAGCTCACTTCCCACAGCACTACTTCCTTTTTTCAGTGGCACCCAGCAACAGGACAAGAGGTAGTGGGCACTTTTTTATGTGTTCTAATTGATTTTTGCATGTTAAATAAAAAGTTCAGACACTGGCATATTTCAGGTGTATTTGTGTTATCCTGACATATTTGTATTAAATGTCAAATTTTAAAAATTAAATCTTAGTCTTGTTAAAATAAATGTCTTGTCTTCACTCTGGTTTGTTTAAAAAAAGAACAAACTTGCATAATTTGTCTTCCTGCTGTCATAAATCTCTATTTTGAATATGCAAATTGTAGGTGCCAATTGCTGGTCAGTAAACTGAAGGCTTTTCAAACTTATTATCTGGATGCGCATAAAGCGATCTGAGGCAGCTGCCATGTAGGTGCTGGTTTGGGCTGAGTGAAGTCTCCAAATTAGCAGTTCAGCATTTGAAACTAGAGTCCATTTCTTAAATGTTTAGATTTTTTTGCTAGAGAAATGTACCAGCTTTTTAGGGTTTTCTTTGTACATAGAATATTTCTAATGACTTAATTTAGTGAAAGCCATCTGCTTGACATTGGGATGTTTGCTGAAATGCTGTAGTTAACCCACTGCTAATGCTCTCTTCTCAGTATGTTTATGAGCTTCATTTCCTGTGGCACTTCTGCAACCTCACTGCAGCTTATGGAGGATGGTTATTTTATCTTTTGAAACTTTGTCTTTCAGTAGTGAATATGCATTAATAACCATGGGGTTGTTTTTTTAAACTCCTGCTCTACAGCGCAGAGCTGGCACTATAAAGGATCTTCTCAAGGTAACCAGTTTGACGTTATGATCTCTTAAGTTGGAGATATGTAACATACTCTGCTTTGAAATATGTTTGAATTTATTTTTTTAAGGGAAAATAGCACTGTGAGAAACATCGACTCGCATCTTAGAATTTAAAGAGGACAAAGTCACCAAAGCAAAGATTAAAAAAATTATAATTTATTAATATGAAACAGTGCTGAATCGGGTACACCAAAAATAGATGGACGATGATCTTTTAGCTTTCAGGAATTTTATACCTTTATCCCGGCTGCTTGAGTTTCTGTCTCCGCTCACATTCTTCCCGACCGCTTGACCTATTAGAGGTTTATTTTGCACTTTTTCCCATATAAGGCACATATACACCTATTCTAGGAAATCATTATCCTAAACACACCTTTGATTAGTTGATTATGCTACATGTTATTTCAGAGTCTTTGCTACCATCAACTTTGCAGATTTACCAGACTGGTTTCTTTGGCCTTATTGGTACTCCCCTACCCTCTGGGTTCCTGTGTCGAAGGCCACGTTCCAGTGTGTTTCTCTTCCCCTAGATAACGCTCTGCGAACAAGGATCCCTTGACAGACCAAGGGCATTTCTGGGGATTAATTGGATACAATTTATTAGACTCTACTCTTACTAAGGCTTCTTTGTTAGTACTATCACACTAACAATGATACATCAATTAGCTGAAGCAAAACTTAGCTCACTTCCCACAGCACTACTTCCTTTTTTCAGTGGCACCCAGCAACAGGACAAGAGGTAGTGGGCACTAAACCTAAACATGAGGAGGAACTTCTTTACTTTGAGGGTGGCAGAGCACTGCCCAGGGAGATGGTGGAGTCTCCTTCTCTGGAGACATTCAAAACCTGCCTGTGGACCTGCTTTGGCAGGGGGGTTGGAGTAATCAAGAACAGAATCACAGAATCTTCTAGGTTGGAAGGGACCTCAAAGATCATCTTGCCCAACCGTCAACCTAACTGACAAAAATAGACACCCACACATCAAACAAGAAGCATCACCATCACTAAACCATACCTCCCAGCACTACATCAACCTGTCTTTTGAACACCTCCAGGGATGGTGCCTCAACCACCTCCCTGGGCAGCCCATTCCAATGCCTGATAACCCTTTCAGTGAAAAAATTTTTCCTAATATCCAGCCTGAACCTCCCCTGGTGTAACTTGAGGCCATTTCCTCTCGTCCTGTCGCCTGTGACTTGAGAGAAGAGACCAACCCCCACCTCTCTACCTGTCCAGATCCCTCTGCAGAGCCTCTCTACCCTCCAGCAGATCAACACTGCCACCCAGCTTGGTGTCGTCTGCGAACTTACTGAGGGTAAGAGTAGATGATCTCCAGAAGTCCCTTCCAGCCCCATGTCATTCTGTGATTAGACAGTAAAACGATCAAACAATACTAGAGGCTTGAGCCCGGCGGGAGGGACGCAGTGATCGCTGTGGCGTGCCTGTCCCACCTAGCCGGGTTTGGGGGGGGGGAGGAGGGAGTATCCCCTCTGTCCGCCCCCTGGCTGTCCCCCTCCCGGCTCCGCGGCCGCCGCTTCCCGCCGCCGCCGGCCCCGGGTAACGGGACGCCCCAACCGGCGGGTGGGGGCGCGTGCGCTCCGCCTGCCGCGCCTGCGCGCGCCCGCCCGCCGGACTGTGGTGGCGGTTCTTTCGAGCGCGAGCGGCGGCGCGGCATGGCGGGGCCCGGCTGGGGCTTGGGCCGCTCCGCTCAGCCTCTGCAGCGGCGGGGCCCGGCGAGGGTGAGACGGGGGGAGCGGAGGGTTCCGCGCCAGAGGAGGGGATGGGAGGAAGGGCAAAGCCGTTCTTCCTCGCCCGGTCCCTGAGGAGGGAGGGAGTTGGGGGGTGTCGGTGTCTTCTCCCTCGGTGTTCACTGCAAACACTGATGTCATGTACGGGTGCTGTCTGAGGGCCAAACCCGGCATTTAAACAGCCTTTAGGAGCTCACGGGTAAAGCGTGGTCTTTCTGGTCCTAGCCCCGTCCCCTTGCTCTGAGGGGTCGCAGGGGAGGCGCTGGAGCCATCCTTCTCTGAACTGGAACTTTTCCTGGAAATTGCAGTTCCACGTTTTATGCCATCCCTGAGCAGCTTGACACTTAGGTTTTGCCTAAAACCTTTTGGGGGCTGCCAGTTGGGCAAGATAATACATGAATGCTCTTAGAAGTAGTATACTAGGCATTTATGAAATATATATAACAGGATAAGCCGTTTTCTTTCATATCTTCTTTTGTTACAGCAATTGCTAGCCTTATTTAGGATGTGTTAGGAGTGTTTGTGGGTTTTTGGAAAAGCCTGGTAATTAGCTCTGTTTCCATTGAGCAGGAATTTTTTCCTTATCTAGTCCAATCAGAGGAGAATCAAACCCATAGTTTGTAAAAGTGTCACAATGAGCTGACAGTAAATTATGATGGGCATAATTCCCTTGCTGAGGTAAAGCAATGCTATTTTGCATCAGAGAATGCCAGGTTCCTTGCACTGATTTGAATAATAGGACTGGATTGTGCTTACTTATATTTTGTCCAAAGTTTGTCTTTAACCAAGACAAATTTTTGCAGTTTCTTGCATGTATATTCCAGGGGTCAAATGCATCCAGTGTGCCCAGGCGAGAACAGACTTTAAGTGTTCCAATTCACACTGCAAGGGAAAAGTTGTAAAAATTCCTATAAGTAGCCAAAGATTGGGAGAGATTGAAAGCCAGATTTGGGCTAGACACATAGTTGGATTGGGAGATGGAGTTGGTCCTGGGAATCATCAAATGAGTACTGAAGCCAGCCATTTTTTCTGACGAAGTGTGACCTGTCATTTTAGGGTCAGGAACTGTCTCAAATATGAAGTAAGATTTGAGTTCTTTAGAAGCTAAAATCTGTATGTACCTGCCTTTAGCTCCT